TGCATAGGGTGATAAATGTAAAGTATCAAAGAAATCGAAATTAAAATCTACTAATTTTGGATAGCAACCCGAATTCAACCACAGGAGGAACTGGCTTAATAATGGTATATGTTAGTAAAATCTAAACTCAGAAAATCAATCAAATCATCATTATAATTAATCAAATAAGTCCCATTTTTAAGACACTGACCATTCATAGGTTTTGCTGGGTGGAGGGAAAGTATGTCCAGAATACGATGTTTTATCGATATTGTCAACATCGCGATGTCTACTGTGTCGTGTCCTTATTGTGTTTAGATTGTATTGTGTCTTCACCTTGTGATTACCTTGTTTACATAGTAGACATAGCGTTGTAGACAATAGCGAGTCGTATCGTGTTTAAATTGAATACCAAATCTATACTTTTGTGTGGACATCGTTCACATCGTAGACATCGCGATGTTGACAATAGCGTGTTAATATTGTTTATAATGTATACCGGGTCAATACCTTTGTGTTTACATCGTTCAGATTGTCAACTTCGCGATGTAAACACGATGTAATAACCACATTTTATACACCGCAATCTTAACGATGTCAACGATGTAAACAGTATATATACCTATGCCTACTAACCGGGAAAACAGAATTAAGAAGGCTAAAGATTTTCATCGCTTCCCTCATCAGTTCATACACTTTTGTTGATGTATTTACCAGTATAGCGTTTAATTTTTTTTTTAAAGGTATCAACAAAAAAAATCAAAGAAAGATAATAGCATGAATTACATACTTGTAAAAATAATGAACACTTGTCGGAAAAAACATTAGCGAGATTGAGACATAAATGAATTAACTACTTTTCAATCTTTTGTTGATTATTCGCGTTTTTTTTAGAAAAAAAATGATCGTTTATGTTTTGCAAATTCACAAACGAAATATTACTGATATTACTATAAATTAATTAAATGTTAGCTATTCTGTCCATTTTCTGCTAAACCGCATTCTTTCAACTGATTTTATATTTTTAATGATGTCTTAAACATATGGTTCTTAGGCATTTTCTTAGTTTAAGGGGTTTTATACAAATGATACCACTTATTTATTTGGTCGTAACTTCAACCAACCATTTTTTTCTATGGAAATATATAGTTTCATATGTACATAACTTAACAAACAAATGGGGTTTCCCTAACTTAAGTGTTTGATTATGAGTTGCCCATGTCTCTATTTTGAATTACTTAAATACTTTTGCAAGAATAATATTTCTTTTGTAATATGGCAATCTACTTTGTATCTATTTGCGCTCTAGACAAAGAGGTACCGATGAATTGTTATTGCATTGATTCTTTTTCTATTCACTTGATAATTATGATTTTATTTTTTGCGTTTATTATTCATTAAACGCGAGGATGGTTTTTTGTGTCTGTAAATATATTTTTGACTTTGATTCCTATATATTATCCAGGCTTTATGTTTAATCTTCAGGATAAGGAATAATCAACAGTTTAATACAGGTTAGCAGTATGTTCAATCACGATTAATTTCTTCAGGTTTATGCTCGTTTTCTAATAACAATGAATAACGTAGCTGACATAGTAAGAATATTTCATGTAACTAGTGTCTGTCTGATATATTTCATATGGCCTTGAGTTCATTAAATGCTTCAGTGTGTATGTTAAATTTTTGATAGATGGTATGATCTTCTTTACACGCTATCAGTGTTTAATATACATATATTGAATATGTCCCGTCCAGACTATCTTACAAACTAAAATGCCGGAAACCCGTTTTCATATTTGTAAAGGTGCCAAAGTATTTGTAACTGATAACATCCATGAATAAGTAACTCATAAGAATTTTGGTTTGTACGTAAAATCTTTTAAAATACAAGCATTTTGTCTTAGCTTTATCAGCATGGGCATTAGGCGTAGGCCTCCTAGACCTTGCGGGTAAACCATGGCCAGTGTAATTCCTGTTCGTGTTAATCAATTTTGTGCTTTGTATGATGCTGTTTTGTGTATTGTTGATTGTCTTTTTGTCGTTTTTGTTGTTTGGCGTTGTTACTTCGTCGTCGATTTCTGATTTGAATATCCATTTGGTATATTCCGCCTCTCATTTTGATGCATCTGTCATTTCTATAATAACAACCAACATTTTTTTGGATGAAGATTAAAAAACACCAAAGAATAAATAGACGCAAATAGGGCATCATGGATGATTTGTAACACTTATAATCGTAACTTTCAATCAGCGGGCGGGGGATGGGGCTTGTTGTTGTCGATAAATCTGTCGATGAAATAACTAAAATTTCACCGTTTGAAGTTTTTTTGTAAACAAAAGAAAACAAAAACTCTTAAATGATTGATTGATTGATTGATTGGTGTTCAACGCAGCTTCCCACACTATTGTGTTATTTCCTGGTGGTCTGTTTTACTGGTTAAGGAAGCCGGAGTGCGGCTCTTGTGCCCGAGGAGAACCACCGACCTTCGGTAGGAAAACTGACAATCCTAGTCAATTAGGAATGGAGTCAAGTGCACCTACCTGTGCGGGACTCGAACTCACAACCTCAATGTTGACTGGCTAGTGATACAGTAGTTCGACTAATACAGTAGTTGGACTAATACATTAGTTCGACTACTTAGACCACTGAGCCAGCGAGGCCCCAACTCTTAAATGACTTTAGATATTAGTTGAAGATGGCAACTGCAGGAGTGTTGCTTCATACATATCAACTATTCACTGTATGCTAGACTATAGCAGTCTAGAATGTCATCTGCATGGACTGTTTAAAACGGATTAATTAGAGAATAATCATAGGTCTTGAAGCTCTGTTTTTTGTATGCTTTTTTCACATAATCAAGTTAACTTCGATTAAAAATTGGAATGAATTATAAGATCTGGTGGTAGAAGATAACTTACCACACACAGATTTGATGATTTATGAATACATTGTCTATAAAAAAGAGACATCTATAATAAGCCACCTCCGGTAGAGTCTACGTAGTTTTGGTATCGACATATAGCTAAATATACAGTGATTCTAAAAATATATGGTTTTATTCTATTTACTTTTTGTAAAGGAAGAGACATAACTTACTTATACCGGTGTAAAAATATAGATTTCACCACTGCAACAAGTGTGTTACGATATTTCTCCACTCGAGACTGTTAGATTTTAATATTTAAAGCCCGAGGCTTGCCGAGCTCTTTAAATACTTTAAATTTAACTGTTGAGAGTGGAGAAATATCGTAATACACGAGTTGTAGTGGTGGAATCTGTTTCTCTAATGATTTTTATCCTTCCTTTTCAAAGATTTGCGGAAAGTTGTGCTCTTTATATGTTACGTCATCAGGCATGGTCGCCTTTTTTCATAACGTCACAATAGGAAAATTCAGAAGAAACCAAGAAAATTTGACGTCATAAATAAATTTCGACCAATCATTTGCCGAGAACAAATTTTTCACTAGTGAGGAGAAATATTTTTCTCACACCGGTCAAGAAATGTGAAAAATAGCACAAAAATTAGAGAAAGTGGCATTTTCAGTTTCATATGATACATGTAGGTTAATTCAAACTGGTTTCAAACATATATGGTTCAAGATACTATTACAGGAAAAAGAACAAAATAAGGATATTCTGAAAGATCACTATTTGTTGACCTTTTAAGGTTACAAGTCTTTTAACGAATACAAAAGACTGTTTTCATTCAGTGCATGAAAACAGTTTGAGAAACACGAACCCAGGCTATGTATCACCATAAACATTTCAAGTAGTCTTCAAGCCGCGCATTTACTTTTTACCTTAGACTTATTTTGAGGGCATAAAACAAGAACCTCTTGATTTACGAGTTGTATCATCATACTTCTTATGAAGCCTTTCCAAGAGATAAAACTATTAAACGCCCTTTAAAGTTTTGACCAAAATGTCGCAACAAACAATTTAATAACAAAAATCCTTAACAGATATGTATATACGTTTCTGATAATTGGATTTTTGATTTTTTGATTTTTGGTGTTTTAACGCCACTTTTAAGCACCGCTGTTCGGCTGTTTCGTGGCGGCCAGTTTTTATTGTTGGGGGAAGCCGGAGTGCTTGGAGAAAACCACCGACCTTCGATAGGAAAATTGACAATCCTAGTCAATTAAGATTGGAGTCGCGTGCACCAGCACGAGCGGGATTCGAACTCACAACCTCAGTGTTTACTGGCTAGTGATTACAGTAGTAACTACTTAGACCATCTGATAATTGGTAATTAAGAGGAAAAGTGTACAGTTAGAACATGACCTTGCCCTTTGACTGTATCCTCTTTTTCTTTTGATGGATACATGCCTTAAAATTCAAAGACTCAAGGTTTTTACACTAATAGTTCACGAATTACAATTATATTTAATTTATGGCAATTATATAACGAATTAATTCATATAGGGTGTCGTTCAAATCATTTTCGATATACTGACAAAATAGAGAGCAATATTGGTATATAATTTTTTTGATATCTTAAACGGTTGCGATCACAAGATAAACAGTGTTGGGAAAAAGTAAAATCACAAAAATACTGAACTCCGAGGAAAATTCAAAACGGAAAATCCCTTATCAAATGGAAAATCAAAAGCTCAAACACATCAAACGAATGGGCAACGACAACGGGAGAGATCACTCTAATAAAGATAGGGTGGGGTCAAACGGTTTCAATAGCGTTGTGACTGTTCGATGTCATATACATGTACCAAGTAGCTTACAACGGCAATGAAGGAAAACAAATACTGATCAGAACAAATCGGAGAAGTGATTCAATGGAAAAGAAAAGATGTTTTTACATGTATTCGTTAATTTTGAATAGAGATATGCATCAAAATCATTATGCACAAAATATGACCTCATGACAACTTTAATTTTACATAATTTAACCTCATATATTTAGTATATATTTGTTGTGTACTAGTATCTCTAGGTTGGATGGGATACATTTGTTCGTGGACCTGTATCATAGTTATATTCAGATAGCGATTTCTTTTTGTAGGTTCCCCACCTCGTAAAGGAGTGTTGCACATTAACACTCCACACAGTTTGAATAAAGATGAAATAGAGGAAATGTTAAAATGGACACCATTTATTGACGAGGATATTACAGTCGAATTTGATGAGAAAGGCTAATTTTATTGTTTCCAAAATCGTGATCTTTCGGAGTATACATAAAGAAGGATGGCTAATGACCATTTCTTGACTTCACCAATAATTCTTTTTGTTATCTTTTATGTCAGATTTCATAACAACTCACTATAATGTTATGACGTTAAAATAAATATTATACCTTTGGGATATTTACAGATTTTTTAGTAGGTATCCCGATGAATATATAATTGCATAAATGTATATCAAAAATAATTTATAACTTTTGAAATTAAGTGAATGTAATTTTTAAACTGGAACGAATATTAAACATTTTGTTGTCTAAAAAAGAAATGACGAACGAAACATGTATAAACGCCCGTAAATACTAAGCTTTACAAAATTTCATGTTTTTTCTCCTGTCCTTTTCTTAATATAATGTATGAAATTTATTTCAGTTTAGCTAGAGATTTTTTTAGAAATATTGGTTAGTTTTAGTTGAAGTTTTCTGTATTTATCATACTTATACACTTTTGTGTAAAAAAAAAAATGTCATTTTAGTTTAGCTTTTTTACGTTATTGAAATTGATCAATCAAAAAGATTTAGTTTTGAAAGGAAACATTTTGTTATTGACAATTCTGGTTATTGAATCATTCATGAATTTTCTTGTCTCTTTACAAAATTGATTATACTTTGTGTGGACTACTTTATGTTGGTCGACAAACTTTGCGTAAGAGAATGAATAAACACCGGTCTGATAATTAAGATCCGCAATTTAAGTTTCTTTATAACTTTTTTAATCAGCCGGACCATGATTCTTCTTTATCTATGAAATTACGCATCATCGAGAAAAATTTTCAACTCACCAAAAGTACTCTTTTCGGAAAAGATAGAGAAAATTTCTGGATAAGGGAACTAGGTACTGGAATGTCATATGGTTGCAATGATAACATCGAAGGAATAGGAAATTTGTCAAATTCAGCGTTCAGTGATGTAAATGTAAAGAGCTTATTACACCACCGTAGTCATAGTCATGGTCAAATAGAATATATTTGATATCAAAACATGTACAAATATACATTGCAAATTGCATGTGTTGAATGAACTTTAATCTCATAAAACTATATGTCATAGTTACATATAAAATTGATATTTACAATAACAAAGTCTAATTGGCATGTCCGATTTAATCAATTGAGTATAAAGTTTTTAAAGTATAAAAATTGTAGAACCTCGAATTTTACCAAAAGCGGGGATTGCTAGCTTTAAGGTTTGTCAATAGCCACTTTCGGCCGTTGAAGCTATGTACATTTGTATACAATTCCGAAAACATATTTCATTTAAGTTGTAATTTATGCTAATTTAACTGTCACATATATTTTTTTTAAACAATTGAACAAAGCAAACAAATGCTCACGCAATGAAATGAATATAACTGAAAAATCAGGGTATTCAAAACAAGCTCGAATAAAGGTTGCACCTTGTAAATACAGCTGTTTCAGAAACCACGCCTCTTTTGGGGAGATATATAATATTCATAGATATTTCATTTTGTTTACGAACTAGTTCCCAGATATGATCTCTATGTTTCATCTCATAGAGACATAACTTGGGAATGTTACCAGTCTAAGTGCACATGGTAGGCGGATGAATTGATATCTGAGAAAGACCTAAAATGAAGTAAGGGGTAGTGCAGAATTTTAGTATAAGGTTAAATTCTAATAAGTTCGGGGCATATAAATGTTGAAAATATGCCGCACAGGTACTTATGCATCCCGCCAACGTGTTGTTGTGCTGTGGTAATATTGTATTCTTGTTTTTCATTTTGTTTATGTGCTTTATTATGCCGTTTTGATTTTTTTTTTTGTTGACATTTTTGTTTGTTTTTATAGTGATTAAGATAATAACACAATGTTGACTGCTGTACCCTTATTTTTGACATTTTTACCTTTTAATTTTTGTTCACACATTGTTTTCAATATAATTGAATTGTATTCGACTGTCATACAAGTGAGAGGTTTAGCTAGCTATAAAACCAGGTTTAATCCACCATTTTTAAAATAAGGAAATGCCTGTACCAATTCAGGAATATAACAGTTGTTTTCCATTCGTTTGATGTGTTTGAGCTTTTAATTTTGCCATTTAATAAATTTGCTAAATGACTTTTTGTTTCGAATTTTCCCCCGAGTTCGGTATGTCTGTTATTTTACTTTTAGGGTTCCACAATATGTTGCAATATGTTAGACTAACATGTCTTGGGGTGCAATCAGGTTTTATTTTGCAATGGGGTTGATATAGGGGTACTTTGATGGCCCAAAAAGAAAGGATGGGTTTACTTAGAACCCTTGGGTATTTAATGTTCTTCATTTTCAAATGATTTTAACAGTTATTGATAGACACATGGGGTCTTCAGTAATTGCCATGGGTTCATATGGCTAACCAAAATGTCAAAGGGTCAATGGTAAATTGTTACCTTGACTTTTGACCTTGAACTTTTTTTCCAATCTATCCAATAGGCAGAGTCCTAAGGGGTTTATACTTATTGGGATTTTGTTTTGGGAGACATCGAAACATCATCCTGGTTTTGCATTGTTTGGAAAGACATTTTGATGCCAATTTAATTAGGAGGGGTTCAACCCTTAGGATTAAAAACAAAATTACGCAAAATATAGATTGTGATATTCAAATTGTCTTATATAGTGGTAGACATCACTTGGAATAAGGGACACAGTTTGAGAGAATAATCCATGCATGTTTGTACACTTAGAATCTACATGTAACGATTAATAATCAATTATTTTACCTTTGAAAAACAAAGCCTAAGAAAACTAATTAATACATGAAAAGAACTAATGAAAAATTGAGTTATATTTAATTATTTCGTTTTGAAGGTAAGTATGCTGAGTAATAAGGGATGTTTGTTATAACAAAGTAAGTTCGTTACTGTAATGTTTGTAGTATTGTACTTACATCTTGAAAAAAAATCTTCTACACATCTCTTCATAGGTTTTGTCTCAGATACAAACAGATAAGTTGCAACTTATTGAGGTAAATATGATCTAAGGCGGGTTGATTTGTTCTCTTACGACACTTTTGGGTTTAATTCTGTATAATATGATATGTATTAGATAATTAAATAAAGGCAACAGTAGTATACCGCTGTTTAAAAGTCTTAAATCGATTGACAGAAAACAAATCCGGGTTACAAACTAAAACCGAGGGAAACACATCAACTATAAGAGGAAAACAACGAAACAACAGAAACACTGAAGTGCAACAAAAAACAAACGACAATGCAACATACATAGAAACGAACTATTAGATAACAACTGCCATATTCATGTCTTGGCACAGGACATTTTAAGAAAAAAATGGTGGGTTGAACCTGGTTTTGTAGCTAGCCAAACCTCGCGCTTTCTGGCAATGCAGATGGAACAGTATAAGATTTGATTGAATAATCGTGGATTGACTGCTATCAAAATTTCAAATTTCTATGTTTTAACATTTACGATAATATCAAACTTACACACACCTTTATACTTAAATGAAATAAAATACACTGTACATTCGTTTGTTTGTTTTACACGTTTCTATCTTGCAAAATCGTTGCATTAACTATGTCCGCAGATTATATCCTGTCCATTAAATTCTGTGACAATTCTCAGCGCATTTTTTGTAATGTGCTTTTATCCAACAAACTTTGCTCTTTAACAAAATTCATTGGCCTATGTTTCCCCAACTTGCAGTTTGCACACGTCTTATTATTCAGCATAAACAATGCGGGATTGATCTGAAATAATCCCTAAAATCGTATAAAAATGTTACAATAAATATATTTATATTTACAGTTCGTTCTGTTGTTGTTCCGTTGGTCTTTTTTTCTTTTTAAGTCATGGATTTGTCAGTTTATTTTCGACTTATGAGTTTGAATGTCCGTTTCGGATCTTTTGCCGCTCTCGTGGATATAACAATGCTTTCCAAGTATACTTGGACATTTCAGATGATATTAAGATGAAATAATGTTTATTTTAAAATTAAATTACATTCATTTAATATAGCTCTTTCTTGTTGCTTATACATGTATAAAAATAAATAGATTTGATATGATTGCCAGTGAGACAACTATCCACAAAAGTTCACACGATGTGGGTGTTACAGGTCATTGTATGGCCATCAACAATCAGAACAACCCATACTGTATAAAGTATAGTAAACTATAAATGGCACCGACATGGAAAATGTGAAACAACTCAAAGGAGATAACATAACGGTCTGTTTTAAATTAAATCGATTTACGAGATTTCAACATAGGAAAACTAATGTCGCTTCAATTTATAACAAATCAATCTACGACAAGTAAACATGACAGACATGTACCAACGTTAAAAATGAATTACCTACTCCTTACATAGGACTGGCACATAAAGAATGTGGCGTGGTTTAACATATTTGCGTGCGTTCAACCAGTGATATAACAGCATAAACACTTAGTGTACAAACAGTTGCAACTGTCATTTCCCGAAATAAATTCTGTCAAAATCTTCGATTTTTTTAACTTTTATGCTACCATACCACATGAAAAAATGAAGGATGAAGACCTAATAGATATACATTCAGTGTCTACGTATACTTCACAGATAATACAAGATGGTCTTGCGTTATAGATTTTAGATGCTGAAGTTAGGTATCTTTTTATTGTACTTTGGTTCCCCCTTTATTTGTCTTCATGCTATTGTGTTTCTTTTCATCGAATGACTTTTGATGTGACTCCGTATTTATAAATCCCGCCATCGGGATTTTGGCTTTTTCAATTTTTGCATTAATGCAGGTGGGTCCTGATGTGCGACACTAAGAGTTTTTACAGTGTTGTTTTTTTTTCAGAATTTGCTTTCGATTTCGTTATTTTTGTTATAATTTTAATAGATCGTTACAAAGCAGAAAAACAACTTAAATTAAACCAAAGCACCGATATAATAGTATCGCAGAATACTGACAGATAGTTCCAAAGCCAATTGTGACTAAATAATAAATCATTTTTTTCACAAACTAAAGCATCAATAAGTACATATGCAACGAATTTAGTGTAAAACGTCATAAACAGTCTGAGAAACGCATGACAATGTGCAATGCCTCAATATAGGTAAACAACATTGACAAGATGAAGGATAATGAGTACCCATAACTGTACATACATAATAATATATTTACTTTGTGTTTAGAGATTTTCCACAGTGTGAAAATATTAACCTTTACGAATAAGCTTATTTAAAGGATTAATGAGTATACATGGATCGTATTTAAATGACAGATATTTAATTTGATGACCAGACTTTATGACTGGTGAAAGATAATTTGCAATAAAATTGATGATTGCTCCGACCGCTCGTAGAACAGAATTTATGTAAACTTAGAATGTAGACTTTCTCCCAGGAAGATTTTTATGACTACCCAAAGAGTAAACTATATGAGAGGTCCAATATTGAATTAAACTCTGGAGGAAGTTCATTTTGCCGAAACCAGTCCTAAACACAATTTTACTTGTGGCCAGATCTACTATAAAAAGAAGTCTATGATCTAGACTAATCTGTCCGAAACAGACCCGTTTTACTTGAAAGTTAACTTTTGTTTGGTCTTCTCTACAATAATGAAAACATGCAATGATTTATGAATATTATTTGAGTATCGACTTCCGATCAGTGTAAACATAAGACCGATTAAAAAGCTTACCTGTCTCAATGACTGACATGACTGGTCTGTCAAATAGCAGACCTGTCTACAAGACATGGTTTACACCTGACCTGTCCACAGATCTTGTCTGGTCAAAGCTTACCTATTCACAGGCCTAGTCTAGTCAGGCAAACCTTCCCTTAGGTCTCATATCTGGACTGGTCAAGCTTACGTTTCCTGCCCCATTAGACCTGTCATTGATCTGGTCTGATAAGGATAAAGTTAACTTGCAGGTCTGCTGAAATACCATAAGGACAGCTCTAAGTATACTTTAGTCAGCACTTATGTGTTGACATGAATTATCATTAATATGGTTATAATTATAAATTAACTGTTTACAAAACTATACATTTTTTAAATACTAAGGCCTTTCTACCTCAGGAATAGATTACCTTAGCTGTATTTGGCAAAACGTTTAGGAATTGTTGGTTCTCGATGCTCTTCAACTTTGTATTTTATTTGGCCTTTTAACTTTTTTTATTCGAGCGTCACTGATGAGTTTTTTGTAGACGAAACGCGCGTCTGGAGCAAATGCAAAATTTCAATCTTGGTATCTATGATGAGTTTATTCATACAGGTTAGGACTGCGCTTATCTGTACATTACGGTCATTGAGATCTAAAACGTCACAACAGAAACGGACAGCGGAAATACATTTAACAGACCGGGCGCGTCAGAGCACTTACACATCCCCACAACAAAATAGATACTAAATCTGTGAGTACTCGCAGTTACTGACAGCTAGTTCAAAGCCAATAAACATTCCGTGTCTACTTCACAGATTATACAAGACGGTATTGAGTTAAATATTATAGATAAAAAACACAAGAAATCATGTATCTAAGACTAAAAAAGTTAATTAATACGCCTTGAACGCCATATGAAACTTGAGTATATATTGATAATTATCTAACAAACAGTAATCTGGACATTGGTCAAGACCAACAAGGTAAAGAATTTCCGTCTAACGGTCCAAATCTATCATCACAATCTAAAACAAAGGCGTTACCTCGATCCATTACAGGGCACAGCGACCGTTATAACAGACCTTAGATATATAACATGGTCATTATGAAAACAAACTTCTATTAATTAATGAATCATCATACTATATAGAACCTTACGCAAGTGACTTTTTGGTATAGATACTCTCTTACATATATCTGTGACAATTTATGTTCAATGTGATGGGTAATGTGTGATATTTGAGAAGACATGCCACAATTTCTGATGTATTTGATGCAAGGGGAGTGGGTAAGGAAAGAAGGTGTCAGATAACGATAAAGTAATGGCAAATATAGCAAATTGGTGATTTATAAGGCGGTTATTGAAAATTAAATTTAACAAAATGCAATGATACAACATATAATATACAAATGTTGTTTCTAGATTTACCTTCATCAGGAACGCTTTAATCGAAAATTTCTTTTAATGTCAGATTTGCCTATGGGAGTTGGAATCTCATGATCTAAAGTTTTACCCGGAGTCCGTTTATCAGTCAATGTTTTTTGTTGAAAGACTGTTCTGATGCACTAATAGTCTGCGTATTTTGTGCTGCTCGAATCAGGTTTAAAGGTTTTACCCGGAGTCCGTGTATCAGTCAATGTTTTCATTGAAAGACTGTTCTGAAGCACGAATAGTCTGAGTATTTTATGCTGCTCAAATCATGGTAAAAGTAGCCCAACAACCACCCCCTTCCGTAGCTTCCAAATATATAGGTACTCGAATAAAGAATTGTTAATAGAACAGATAACCACTGGTAATCTGTAATATTTTTTATTGACGACTTCAAATTTATAATTATGAACCTTTGGTTTCAACCGTAGTTATAATCTCTTTAATTAGCTATTGTTAACAAATGCAACCACTATTTTAAAAATATGGTCAATGAAAATAAGATTGAAGTTAGTACGGTAAGGAACTTTTTTAGTTTCCAATTTAAAGCCGCTTTTTCAAGATAAAGGTTCAATTTGGGAAATAAATATGCGAGAAAATAACATAGAACGATTTATATCAAGGTTTTCTAAATTAACTGTGACTTTTATATCCCAAAATAGGCCTAAAATAGAGCTTATTATGATTTGACAAAATCTTCGGTATTTCAATCTTTAGGTTGTGGAAACACACAGAAAGGCTTCGGAAAATTTACTTTGAAAGTCGCATTTGTCATTTGATATCACAAACAAATTGGTACCGGATCTTCTTTGTCAACGCGTGTGATTTATACCAATGAAAATAGGTTTTTCTTATTAAATTAGATTTGATGGAACTTTGGAATTAATGCTAATTGTGACCCCCTAACAAGTATAGAACACTGAGATGTACACTTTCAAAACTATTAGAAATGTAAGCTAAAAACAGGGGCAATATTTTTCCTGTACTAAGTCAGGAATATGCGATTGTTATTCATTTGATGTGTTTGCGCTTTTGAATTTGCCATTTGGTTAGGACTTTGCGTTGAATTTTCCTCGGAGGTCAGTATTTTTGTGATTTTACTTTTGGCTTTATCGAACGTTCAATAACAAAACCTGAAAAATCAATAAAAAGGAAACTTTTACAATACAAAGGAAACTCTTACAGTTCAGAGGTTCAAATATAGTTTTAAATCTAAAAATATTGTGATACACATCATACAAAAATGGTAACCAAGTTTACATTATAATGAAACAGAATACAACTTAAACTACTGTCAAATACTCTGAAGACCGAGTTTTATGGAACATATTAAATGTCGATATATGTACAATAACAACATTTTTTAGAAATGAAATGAAGACAGACAAAAACACAAAACAAAGTACTAGTTGTGAACCTTCATTGTTGTATTTGACTAAAACGCCTTATTGATAAAACGATCGAATCATATGTGTTATTTCAATGAACACGAAATAACACCAAGCGGGACAGAAAAACAACAATCTTTCAGTAACTGCGAGAATTCATAAATCGATACTTTGTGGTTTTTGTTATATGTATTTGTTCTGAGTCCTCATCGGATTTTTACTATCATGAGCAACACAACTAATGACTTAATGACAGGTTTATAAGAATATCGTTTATCACTATCTGCATAAACACCTGTCATTACAATGATGAATCTTCTGATTTTTCTTTTTATG